CCCCCCCGGGCAGGCTGCGGCTCCGCCGCGTTCCTCCCCCCCAGCACCGCCCAGGACACGCAGCCCCGCGGCGCCGCGCTCCCCCCACCGCCACCCCGCGCCGGGTGTCAGGAAAGCAAACGAAGTGACAAGCTCGGGGGGCGCGGGGGAGGGGGCCCACACGCATCCCGCCGCCTGCGCGCCGGCGACGGCCCGACGCGGCCGCCTCGGCCCGCTCCCTTCCGCACGGCCCCCCACACCCTTCCCCGTGTGCGCGCAAAGGAGGAAAAAATACAAGTCTCTCCTCCCCCCATTTTTTCCTTTCTCTTTTCTCTCTCTTTTGTTCCTCTTTCGCACTCGCACTCACTACTTCAGAGTGTGATGCCCACAGACTACCCCTCCAGCCGCTTCCGAGTCTCTTGCCCACTTTTTTCCCCGGGATTAAGTTTTCTCCTGTTTCCCAGAGGCGCAGAGAAGTGGGGGAGAAACCCCTTCCCTCCTTCCCCTCCCCTGATCTCTTTCCCAAGACGAGGGTGCGCTTCCTTCCCTCTCTCGGTCTCGGAACTTTCATCCTCACCCAGAAAAAAATCAATGAATGGCTCGGGCACGGGCCGATCTGTGGATTAATTAGAGATTAGATCCGATCAACCGCTTCTTACCCCCAAATTTTCTCTTTTTTTTTCTCCGTCTCACGAGTAGTCCTGACAAATGGTCCAGGGCTGCGGGCGCAGTGCGCATGTGCGCGTAGAGTCAGGGCTGGGGAGAGGGGAAACTGCGCTGGTGCCGGTGCCGCCGCCGCCGCCGCTGCCGGGGAGGCTCGCGCTGCCTCCGCTGTGCCTGCTGCTGCGCCTTCGCCGCTAGAAAGCAGCAATCGAGCGGCTCGGCGAGGGCGTCCGCCCGCAGACACCGCTTCAGGTGCATCTCTTCCCCGATCCCTGTCGCCGGTTCGGAGCCGGTTCCCAGAACTGCCCGAACAAATGTGAAAGACTGCTAAGGTTATAGATTTCTTTGTCTGCTTTTGCACTTTACTTTTTTTCTAAGGCAATTCTCAGAGCAGCGAATCCACCATGTGCTGGTTAAATGTATGCATTCAGCCATTAAAGAGTGGGCCCTGGCCTCACACCATTGCTCCCCCGAGCCTAAATACATGCCACAGGTCATGAAAAATAAGAAATAAAGTTCTAAGCTTCTACGGAGTTTAATTGGCCCCTCTTGCGAGACTGGAAGAATGCAGAATGAAGTAGGCATCTGAAACTTGCGCGTTCTTTCCGCATCCTAAATGGGATTTGTATTGACAGCTTCAAGGGGTTAGGCCTCTGTTGTGTGGGATGCTGGGAGTTCTACCTCAACTTAGAAATCCCTGCTCAAGTACCTAGGCAGTAAGAGGACCACCCGCTTAATGTACTCAGTCAAGATGGCTGAGCTCTCCTAAATAGCAAACCCTGCCTTTGTCAATGCGTCCAAACTGGATCAAGCGAGTATTGTATTTCGGTATTGACAGCCTTCTGCTTGCTGACTACAGGCTGGTTGTGGGGCAGCTTACCGGTCCCTTTTTCTGTAAGACGCGGGTGCAGATGAAAGAATTCAAAGTAATTAAAGTTGTGATAAACCTTTTTGTTTCGAATAGGAGAGTTTGCTGTGCGAGGCTTACACTTTGCGGCGGTGGGAAGGTAAGGGAAAGCTCCGCCCCCCAGAGTGGACTATTTGTTTTGCATCTAATAGATGGTAAAGAAGGCCTTTCTCGCTATTGTTGCCTGAGGCCTAGAATTTAAATATATCACAGATGGAAACTCCATATTAAAAATCCTTCTTCCAAAGTGTAAGCATGGTTATTCTTGATTGAATTTTTTTTTCACTTAAGGAATGTTCCTTGAACTGGTGTCAGAAAATGAACTGTTAAATTCTTTCCTCAGGACCATGAAATTACCCTAGAAAAGCAGACCCCCGACTATTTCTCCCATCGGTGTAGCGGTGGAGTTCTCCAAACCCAAAATCCAGACACATGGATTGATGTCTACTTTGGAACACAGGTGCTAACTAACAGCTGAAATGAGCTTGTAAAATAAGCCTCATGTGTTCAGCAGTCACTGGTTCCAGAGTGTGCACTGGGAAAGGCCTGGTTAGTGAGAGCTGTTGATAATCTCAGATCACCACCTGAGGACTGATTTCACTGCCGCCATTCAAAGCTGTACCAGAACAGCTTCATTAGTGGATAGGAATTGCAGCTCTTGTCCCTTTCTTTCCAATTCTTGAATAATAAAGAGTGAAATGGCCAAAGGCAGACTACTAGAAAAAGAGAGGCCAGTCTACTGTGAACCTAAGACCTTGCCCCAAGAAATTCAACATTGATTTTCAGTTCCTCTTTCCAAAAACCCATCCATCTTAGAGATTTATTCTCTAGATAATTCTTAGGTGATATTTCTATTTCTACTGTACGTACTTTCAGAGACATTAATTCAGTAGTTCCTGTTTAAATTTTTGTTTTTGTGTTTTGTTTTGTTTTGCTGGCCTCAGACTCACAGCAATCCTCCTGCCTCAGCCAAGTGCTGGGCTGTTAGGTTTTTGCCACCATGCCTAGCTAACCTATCCTGCAAGGCGCTCCGGGGTGAAAAGATGGCCAAAAGTAGCATTATGGGCCACAGTGGTAAATGAAGTGGTAAAGAAGTAGATATTATGGTAGCAAATACAATTGAGGTGTGTCTGTGGCTACACAGAAGGGTCTTCCAGAAGTAATAGCTCGGTTTGGAGAGATAGCTCAGCTGTCACGAGCACTGTCTGCTCTTGCAGAAGACCAGGGTTCAGTTCCCAGCACACACATGGCATCTAACAACCATCCATAACTCCAGCTCCAGGGGATCTGCTGCCCACTTCTGACCTCCACAGGCATTGCACGACACAGGTGCACTTACATACATGTAGGCAACACACTCATACACTCGTACACTTAAAATAATAATAAAAATTTTTAAAAAAGATGTGATGGCTCAAGCTCTTTCTTCCTCTTTATTTATTGAGACAGGATCTCACTGTGTTACCCTGGCCAAACTGGCTATGTAGGCCAGGGTAACTTCAAACTCATAGAGATCTGCCTGCCTCTACCTCCTAAGTACTGGGATTAAAGGAGTGAGCAACCATGCCTGGCTTTAAACTGATTCTTGAATGACTTGCATCGGAGATATATGATGACTCACTATCCCTAAAAGATTTCTGGGAAAGTTGACCAATCACAGAATGCCTGATAAAGGCCCAGGGTTTTGAGAGCAAATCTTGCCTGGAAACTTGCTCATGGTGAAACTTCACTAACAGAAGTAAGGATGACTTGAGGTTCACTGTAATAGAGATAGAGGTGTGTCTCTCCTCCAGAGACCACTATTAAAGCGTCATCTCAGTTATTTCCAAAATGTGATCCAAGATGGTGGCACTTTTCGAAGGTAGTTTCTATAAGAATAATGACCTTAAAGGCTGCTATTAATTTTTAACAACAACAAAATAATCCTTGAATGCCACCATCTAAGTCAAGCAAAAAATGCCATTAGAATCTAGATATTAGTTTTATTCTTCATATAAATGGTTCTCTTTACAGTATCTTGAGTCATTTGTTCCCCATACAGTAGTATACTAGCTGAAGCTTCTTTGCCCTATCTCCATCAACCTTCTGTCGTTCATTCACCAGCTAATACTTCATGCTTCTGTCCAGCATCATTAAATCTCATCCTTCTTTACTCCTTCACATTTGCCTGTCTCATCCTGCCCCATCCTTTCACATGTAAATACCAAATCCATCCTTCAGACCAAGGCCTACCAGTTCCCTGTCATCCCCAGAAGAAAAATTTGCTCACGTCCTTATTTTTCTTTGTATTTTTATACCAAATTTTCATTACCCCCCCCCCCCCCCGCACACACCAATGATTGCAGGTTGATTCATTCCTTGATCTGCTGAAGCTAAAGTCATTTTACATGGAAAATGTTTTAAATAAATTACAGCACTTACTTTTCAAAGACATTTTAATGCTTCACAACAGCTCCTAAATGAAGGTCATTCAAAACCTCAGACTATACATCCTGTAACTGCCACTCGCATGAACTTCAATTTAGAAACTTTCACTCCCTGTTTCTAACACTAAGCTTATGGTACACTGGCAGGACATATGCCTGTGCTGGATAAACTCTTGGCTGACCTCCTCCATGAGCCGGCCCCCATCCCTCCCCCAATTTGAAAATGTCTAGAGGTGAAATCCAAGGTGTTCTGAACCACTTGTGCCACCACAACTAGAAACCAC